CATTTGCATATATTGTGGAAAACAAAACAGAGAGAAAGGGTACATACTGTATGATTCCACTTACATGAAATTTAAGAACAGGCAAAACAATCCATGTTGATAGAAACCAGAGCAGTGGTTAAGGATGGAGCTGGGGATGGGCTGGAGGGGGCATGAGGGAACTTTCCGGGGTGATGGAAATATTCTCTCTCTTGACTGGCGTGTGGGTTATATTGGTTTATACCTTTGCCAGAACTCAATGAATTTTGCATATTTAAGATCTGTGCAATTCACTGTACCTAAATTTTACATTAAAAAAACCATACCACTCTCTAAACTTGAAATAACTTTTACACTAAGACTTCTCTCAGTTGAATTTCTTACCAAAACTTTTATAATGAAAAGAGACTTACAAAATTCCCAGATAGTATTCTTTGGCACAGGTGTTACATACTGTTTTGTGTTTAAGTGTGTACTCAGAGTCAGACTTTCATGAGTTGGAATCCTGTCTTAACTTGGGGAGAGCTACCAAACTGCTCTGTCCCTCAGTTTCCTCATTTCTAAAATGGAGATAATAATAGCACCCACTTCACAAAGTTGTCAAGAGGATTAAATAATTAATAAAATACTTAGAACAGAAAGTACTATGTAAGTATTAGTTATAATTATTACCACAATAAAGAATTTACACTTGAAGAGGTTGTCATCCTGGTAATCCAAAACCAGGCAGGAGTTTGGAAGAGTAAAATTTACATAGACAACCACTAACTCTATCAAAGTAATTATTTACATAGAAGCCCTGCAAGTCTTTGGCTGTCTCACACAACAAGAATTGAGTCTTGGGCGGGCCCCGTGGCTTAGTGTTAAGTGCGCGCGCTCTACTACTGGCGGCCTGGGTTTGGATCCCGGGCGCGCACCGATGCACCACTTCTCCGGCCATGCTGAGGCCGCGTCCCACATAGAGCAACTAGAAGGACGTGCAGCTATGACATACAACTACCTACTGGGGTTTTGGGGGAAAAAAAGGGAGGAGGATTGGCAATAGATGTTAGCTCAGAGCTGGTCTTTCTCAGCAAAAAGAGGAGGATTAGCATGGATGTTAGCTCAGGGCTGATCTTCCTCACACAAACACAAAAAAAGAATGAGTCTCAAGTGATTCAGGAGCTTTTCTTTTTTTACTAATTTTATTTATTTATTTTTTCCCCCAAAGCCCCAGTAGATAGTTGTATGTCATAGCTGCACATCCTTCTAGTTGCTGTACGTGGGACGCAGCCTCAGCATGGCCGGAGAAGCGGTGTGTCGGTGCGCGCCGGGATCTGAACCGGGGCCGCCAGCATCGGAGTGCACGCACTTAACCGCTAAGCCATGAGGCCGGCCCCAGGAGCTTTTTATTATTCAGTTCTTTAGAAGATTATTCTTGCCCGGGGTGGATTCTTGCTAATCTTGACCTCAGAGAATTTCTCAGTATGAATGAGAAATATGCACAAAGGTTAAAGAGAAATAAACAAGTTATTTATTTTTAATGTACCAGTATTTAAACCACATGAAAATTATTATATTTCAAAATTTTCTTTTTTCTCACAGTATTAAAAACAGAGAAATACTCTATAATTCTGTACTAGATGGCAGTTTATGGAATTTCTATAAGCTAGTTATCAGTATAATGGTACCTTGAAATGAGCAGTTAACACACATCACACATATAGGTTAATTCACCTATAAACTTATATACATAAAGACTAAAGTCTTTGCATTAAAATCTAATTCAGAAGATGAAGAGGAAAATGCATAATCAATATGAATATACACTTATTTTTTAAATTCCATACGTACACAGGGAGTGAGGAAAACAAATACATTACTTAATAAAAACAGGTAGACTTCAAGGTGAAGTATCTATGGAAAAAGTAGGCCTCGAACTTAAATTTTAAAATTCTAGAATACAAAACTTTTTTAGACTACTACTCTGCCTACCAAGTGTAATCTATAAAAAGTGTTCTGAAATGGCTAGATAAATCTAAGTCATTCAGTAAATGTTTGATGGTGGTGATGATAAAGATGTGAATGAATTTAAGAACTAAGTCTTTGGGGAGGAGGACATCTGAGAGGCATGGGGAAGGCACACTCCGCTTCAAAACATGGCCTGTGGCCAAAGATCTGGCTTGTCCCCATAAGTCATCAGGCTCTCATGCACCCAACCAAATGAGTACCCATTAGGCCAGTAGTGTGCATCAGAAACTCCGAGGAAGCTGTTCAAAATACATGGTCTAAGCCCTGCCATCGAGATTCTGATTCAGCAAGTCTACAGGATCCTGGCACATACTGTATTTTGAGAAAGCTCACCTAATGGTTTAGATAGATTCAAACCACTTTCAATTTCTGTCATTTCTTAGACATATATTTTAGTCTTTTAAATAGTATAAAATCTCACCCCACCAAAATAAGTCTTGATCTTTTAGATATTATTCAAGTCAACCATGTTTAACAAAACTTAAAAAAAAAATATACCCCTTGCTCAAGGCAGAACTACAACTAAACTATCACTGAAAGATGGATACCTAACTGATTTTGAAACATTTAAAGGAAGAATATTTGGGAATTATTATGTATAACCCACTCTAGAACCAATCTGTTCATCATTTAAAATATTATACTTGACAATAACTGTATAGTCTCAGCGATTATATGTGATGATAAGGGACAAAAAAGTAAATGGTGAAAGCATTCCCTTAAATTACGGGCCACACAGTTATATTCTGATTACTTCCCAATGAATCTGTTCACTGTTGTAGCTGAAAGAAAACCAAGAATTGGTTTTGGATAAGTCAGACAAGTCATTCTGACAAGTTCAAGTCTCTGAATAGCCTTTTCTTAAAGCACTCCAATCTATATCACATATTCCAAAATTAATTTTGCTTAGGAATGTAAAAATGTTAGAAATATAGGTTTTTGAAAATAATTCTTCATTTGGCATTAATTCTTCCTAGTCCCTGATAAGTTTCAGTGTTTATGTGAGCTGAACACCTTGCTGTTCTGCTAATGAAAGCATTACTCCTGTGGCAATGTCAGGGAACTATGTAAGTGTCTTTCTTGTACAGATATTATAAAAAGCAGATTGACAGTTCGTAATAGTATATAGCTCAGAATGCCACTCGCCTTCCTACATGGAATCACCTTTTTTTCCTGGGTGGTAAGTGGAAGGCACATCAGTGATCAAGAAGGATGAACTGACATTTTCTGTCTCTATACACACAGTCCTTAGCACAAGGACGGCAATGTCATAAAAAGAAGGAATGGTCAACGATGCTCAGATTTCTTTAAGGAAATAAGTTTTAAAAATCACTAGAAGGACTTAGAGGAGTCAACCTGACTCTTTATTTCCATCTAAAGCAGTATTAGCACAGCCAGAACAGAATTCCTTTATCTCCCATGTCATTTTGCCGAATATTTTCCAAGTTACTATTGCTTCAGAAAACCTAGGTAGGAATGGCCAAGAGAAATCCAGGGGAAACAACTCTCCAAAATCCAGAAGGAGTTGATCCAGTAATTTCACTTCTAAGAATTTATTTTAGGGAAATAATTGATCACTATACAGAATGTGTACACACACACACACACACATACATTTATATATAAGAAATAAGTCTAGAAAGATACATATACCAAAATCTCAACAGAGGGTTTCTCTGAGTGATGGGATTATGAGTAATTTTTTAAAAAGTTTATGCTCCTCTGTATTCTCTAATTTTTCTATAACATATATGGAACTTGTGGAATAATTAGGAAAGGGATTGAGATATTTTCCAAAAGTTTTAAGTACTGGCAAGTATTGGGAAAATAACTATGCCAAACGTGAAACCTTTGGGAGCAAACTAAGTAACAGCCAAAATAATTTTATACCCCAAACTAACAAACTGACTTTGGCTCTGTAAAAGAGATTTTTTTAAAAAGTATTACATGCCTTTTAATTTTTCTTAATAACTTACTCTTCCTCCACCCCACAATCATATTAACACTTCCCTGTTTTGCATTTCTACATGGAGAAAGATGAATGATTAATACTTTGGATTCTAATATAGTTTTTGCCTCCAAAAACTGTACAGTAGTCCCTCCTTACCCATGGTTTCCACAGTTTCAGTTACCAGTGGTCAACTGCAGACATCCAACCATCACATCGTCATGGCTTGACAATCCTCCTGACATATCGTCAGATGGTCAATAGTAGCCTAATGCTACGTCACAATGTCTACATCATGCACCTCACTTCATCTCATCACGGAGGCACTGTATCATCTCACATCATCTCAAGAAGAAGGGTGACTACAGTACAATAAGATATTTTGAGAGAGAAACCACATTCATGTAACTTTTATTACAGTATATTGTTATAATTGTTTTATTTTATTATTAGTAGTTGTTAATCTCTTACTGTGCCTAGTTTATAAATTAAACTTGATCATACATATGTATGTATAGGAAAAAACATAGTATATATAGGGTTTGGTTTTAGGCATCCACTGGAGGTCTTGGAACATATCCCCCATGGATAAGGGGGGACTACTGTATACCTGATGGTTTCTTTAACGCTGATAATTCTGTTTTAAAATTCCATCTACTTCTATTCCTTCTCACCCCAATGTCCAAAACCCTATGTCGAAGAGAGTAAAAATTAGGACAGACATCCCTTTTCCCCCATAGCTGATATGACCATATGTATATGTATGAAAATGTATGGGTATATATTTAGTTACATTCATTTTTTGTATAGTTAACACACACATAACATACATAGCAAGCAGTCTAGATACAGAGGCCATCATCTTGACGATATGATTACTAGTTTCAAGGCCTGGAAAATGCAGCTCACCATGTAAAAGTATCTCACCATGAGAAATCAATAATTTTCAAAGCTGGTAAAACTTAATATCAATTCCACTTAAAAAAAAAATCGAAGCTACAGGTAGGTTGATAGGGTAGAGAAATACTTAAATTAATACCCACTGGATTGCTATTAAGCTTACCTTACAGCTTTGAAAAACTCTGATTTCTTGTGTGTTTCAGTGGTGAGCTGCATTTCCTGAGTCGCAGCCACAGGAAGTCCAGTCTGATGAAGAATCAGCAAAAGGAAGCCCTCACTGAGAGACACACTGGTATCATTCACTAAGTGGAGATAGTGAAAGAGCAACATATTTCTCAAGGCAATTTAGATTATTAATACACATACGCTTACACAGTAAATACAGATTTAACTTCCCATGGCAGAAGCAACAGCTAATTTCCCTTAAAAACCTGACTGCTTTTGCTACAAAGCATTTAGTTTTACCCTACCTACCTCCTTGGGATGATATTCATTTACCATAGTTCACCCCTTAACTGCCTTTTTTTAAAAACAAAAGAAAACAAAAACCTTTAGGCATAAATTTGAGCAATAGTGATAACACATCTTCTAGCAGCAACACTGGAATCTTACAGCAGAAAAAAAATTAGTGAGGTAAACCTTTATCAATTTATAAAAATTAGTGAAGTAAACCTTCATTGATTTTTTTTTTTTTTTTAAAGTTTTTTTTTTTTTATTTTTTTCCCCCCAAAGCCCCAGTGGATAGTTGTATGTTGTAGCTGCACATCCTTCTAGTTGCTGTATGCGGGACTCGGCCTCAGGATGAACGGAGAAGTGGTGCCTCGATGCGCACCCAGGATCCGAACCCGGGCCACCAGCATCGCAGCGCGCGCACTTAACCACCAAGCCACAGGGCCGGCCCTTCATTGATTTTCTACATCACCTTTATCACTGTTATCATCTCTCAAAGCTGTGACAATCAGATCTGGACATCTTGCATAATCTATATAGAAATCTTTTTGTTAAACAAAATTTTGAAATGAGCATTCGACACTTTCAAGAAAAACATGTTTTCTAAAATGTCTTTAACACAGTAGTTCATAAGGAATCAATAATCAGAGCACAGTTGTAGAAATTTTGTTTTAGAAAGTAATAGAACTTTTCTCTAAAAACATCCTGAAATACATACTTTTCACTGATAATTCTGAATCATAAGGCTTATTGTATTTATTGCTCTAGATGGTGCTGTCAACACAGTACCAGTAGCCATATGTAGCTATTTAAGTTTAAGTTTAAATTTACCAAAATAAAATAAAATTAAAAATTTAGTTCCTCAGCTGCACTAGCAATATTCTAAGTGTACAACAGCCACTTGTGGCTAGTGGCTACTGTATTAGACAGCACAGATCTAGAATATTTTCATCACTGCAAAAAATTCTATTGGATAGCACAGTTCTAGATTAAGCATCTAAAGAGAGAGAGAGTTATTATAATTAATAGGCCTTACCTGGTCTGAGCAGGTGTGGGTGTGTAAAGGGACTGGGCTGGCCTAAGTATCGGTTTGGAATCCTCCTCTCTGGGATGGGCTGGAGGGAGTACCTTCGCCGTGAACATGACATGCATCCTGAAGGAAAAATAGGGGATGAAATGGAACAATGAATCTAGAAAGTCCTCACAGTATATATACATTTACCTATCTCCAGAAGTTGATGCTTTAGAAAAATGTAAATGAGTATTTCCTTCATTATTTATATGGCCCTTCTTTGTGCCAGCCAGAGTCTGTGTTGGCCTCTAGGACTACAGAATGAGATCATCTTTACCCCTTAGTCTATTACAGTATAATAGAGGTATATATATACATATAGTATGACTAAGACAAGTATAGGGACCTATGGGAACAGAAGGAAGTCAACAAACAAAAGCAGGGGAGGGTTTAGGAAGTATTTCACACAGGTAGTGCGAAGCTGTGACCTAAAATTCAGAAAAAGAATTAACATTTTAATTGAGAATATGTGAAGTACGAGGAAACATGTACATGCTATCTCATTTAATCTTCAAATGTTAAAGCTAGATAAAATAATGTATGAAAAATGCTTAATCATAGCACACAATAAACACTATTATTAGCATTCATTCAACAAGATTTATTAAGCATGTGATTAGAACACATGCTGGGAAAGACACAAGAATAAGACACGACTATTTGTCCAGGTCTTCAAAGAATATACAGTCCAGTGGATGTGAGACAAAACAGAGCATTACAATACTACATGGTGAACGCAGTGGTAGGTTCAAACACAAGGCTTTTGAGAGCACAAAGACTAATATAACGCTGGGGGATGGGTGCAATGACAAAGATAGGCACACGGTGCTCTGGGGAACACAGAGAAGCACACAAAAGGTGTTTGTGTGTGACTGCAGAAGTAGGTGATGCTTACTCTGAATAGGAATTAGTCAAGTGAAGGAGACAAGGGGTCGGGAAGGTATCATGAATGATATTATGAAAGAGAAGGCACAGAAGGCACTGTGTGTGTGTGTGTGTGTGTGTGTGTGTGTGTGTGTGTAGGGGGGACGAGGGAGAGAATTTCAGGTTGGTGCTGCTGGAGGGAGGTGAAAAGATTAGAAAGGTAAGGCTCAGACCATTGAAGGCTTTGTTTGGCAAAGTAAGGAATTAGATTTTTTTGTGTGTGTGAGGAGGACTAGCCCTGAGCTAACAACCTATGTCAATCCTCCCCTTTTTTCTTGAGGAAGAGTGGTCCTGAGCTAACATCCGTGCCCATCTTCCTCTACTTTATATGGGGTGCTGCCACAGCATGGCTTACCAAGCAGTGCGTCGGCGCGCACCCAGGATCCAAACCCGCGAACCCCGGGCTGCCAAAGCAGAGGGCGCGCACTTAACCGCTTGCGCCACCGGCCGGCCCCAGGAATTAGATTTTTAACTGCCGTGTGAGGTAGGCCTTATCATCGCCTTTTTACAAATAAGTAATCAGACTCAGAGATGTAATTTGTGCAACATTACAGTTAGTATTGGGGAAGCTGGGATTCAAACCCAGGTTTATTTAACTCCAAAATCTTTGATCGTATTCCTCTACCCTGCTGCTCAGTAGGTCTTGTCTGTTGAATCCCAACAGCACAATCAGTACTATACAATCTTCTTGTGAACATACAAACACCACAACAGCAGAATGTGATAAGTCAGGATCAAGTTAAAGGTTTCTGTAGAGATTATGAAGTACGAATGATAGTATATGTATTTGAAGAGAGAGAAGTCTTTTTTTTTTTTTTTTTTGTGAGATCAGCCCCGTGCTAACATCTGCCAATCCTCCTCTGTTTTTTGCTGAGGAAGACTGGCCCTGGGCTAACATCGTGCCCATCTTCCTCCACTTTATATGGGATGCCGTCACAGCATGGCTTGCCAAGCAGTGTGTCGGTGTGCGCCTGGGATCTAAACTGGCGAACCCCAGGCTGCCGCAGCGGAACGCGCACACTTAACCGCTTGCGCCACCGGGCCGGCCCCTGGAGAGTTAGAAGTCTTAAATGTTAACTCTGAATTAAATTTACAGAGGATTATTAAGAAAAATTATAGCTTCTGGGATGATTAAAAAGACAGAAAATGGTACAGGTTTCCAGGCAGTATGAAAATACAGTTAAGAATAATGAAAAATGAGAAAAAGGACAAAATATTAAACAAGTATTTCCTGGAATCTGCCTTTAGAAAATGTACAGAATATATATTAGAGAATATGCCCAGTCTATGCACATTGAAAGCTTAACAAAGACGAGGCAAGCAATTTACAGAAATACAGAGGACAGAGGAACTTGCTAACTGACACCATAGGGATGCAATCAACAAAGTCCAGACTGTGGGAAACACTACAAGACAAATAAATCAGTTTCTTCCACATAAATTCCAAGGCAGATAGGGGTGGTAAGAGATGGAAGGGGGAATTTACAGATTAAGAAAACCTTAAAATTCACTATCAACCAATTGTAATATGTAGACCTCATATGGATCCCGATTCAAGCAACGAATGGTAAAACAAATACGCACTCACACTATTTATTACATTTATGAGATCATTAGCAATTTGGACAGTCATTGCATATTTGATGGTATTATGGATATAACGTTTATTTTCTTAAGGTGTGATAATGGTGTTACAGTTATGTTAAAAAGGAAGAACCTTACTTTTAGAGATATAAACTGAAATATTTACAGATGAAGTGATATGATCTGGGATTTCTCTCAAAATGTTATGGAGGTGGGGTGGATTGGGGAGAGGATGAATGGGAATTTGGATGAAACAACTGGCCATGAGTTGATAATTGTTGAAGCTGGGTGATGAGTACACGAGAGCTCATTATACAACTCTATCTACATGTGTATATGTTTGAAATTTTCCGTAGTAAAAGGTAGAAAAAAATGGTTAACAAGGAGTAAACAAAGGTAAATAAGGAGAAAAACAAAGGAAATAAGTACGCACTCTGGAAGGCAATCTAAGACAAAGAGTTAAAGGCAGCATAGTACAGTGGAAAAAAAGTGCTAGTTCTAGGTTAGTTCTATTACCTATGTGACCTTGGCATGTTACATAATTACTCTGCACTTATTTCTTCACCTGTGAAATAAAGCAGTTATATTAGGTAGTGGCTTTCAAACTTTTAAAACCAAGACCCACAGTCAGAAATATATTTTACACAGTAACCTAGTATATATAGACCTATATATATTCATAATATATTTAAAAGTTTCACTAAATACTGTTCTATGACTAATATTTTTTTCTGTCCTATTCCATTAAAAAAAGTTTGTCTCAGTGCACTAAAATGATTTTATTACTATAATGTCTTGAATGGTAGCCCCCAGAAAGATATGTCCAAACCCTAATACCCAGAACCTGTGACTGTTAATTTAGTTGAAAAAAGGGTCTTTGCAGATGTAATTATGGATCTTGAGATGAGGAGATCATCCTGGATAATCTGGGTTAGGTCCTAAATCCAACGACAAGTGTTGTTATAAGAGAAACACAGAGAGAGATTTGAGATAGACAGAAGAGAAGATGAGGAAGCAATGTGACCACGAAGGCAGAGACCAGAGTGATGTGGCCACAAGCCAAAGAACACCTACGGCCACCAGAAGCTGGAAGAGGTAAAGAACGGATTCTCGCCTAGAGCCTTTGGAAGATGTGCAGGTCTGCTGACACTTGATTTTGGACTTCTGGCCTCCAGAACTCTGAAAGAATACATTTCTGTTGTTTTAAGCTCACCATGGTTGTGGTAATTTGTTATGTCAGCCTCAGGAAACTAACACAATGACCTACTAAGATTGCAACTTGCAATTGGAAAAACACTGCACTAAAAGTTTATGTCTCCATACTGAGATCACCTCCAGTTAAGGGACAGGGGAGATGTGAGAATCCTCAATAATTTGCAAGAGTATAAAGGGATCCTGAGTATAACCTCTGCCCCACCCAAACATCAGATTCCCTACACTGTTATTTGCAAACACCCTCAGACCTTCCCGAAAGCATAGCAGCCTCTGGCCCACTTAATTTTTTAGTTACTTGACCGCTGACATTTGTGTTTCTTGAAAGTAGAGAAAGCCCAGGGAAGAGGTGATAGTGGGTTGTCTATGTACAAGAACGTGTTGGTGGAGTAACTGGGATGAGTAGTATGAAGAAAAGGGATACAATTAGAAGTGTAGCAGAAATCCCTGAGCTTTTTTCACTTGTAAGCAAACTCTCGTCCTAATCAAAGCTCACACAATATAGGATGTAGCTCCATTTTTCCTTATTACAACAAATAGTAGAGGCACAGTATATTTAATGCTTTCAAATCACAGATGGTCAATGATGATAATGATGATTATGATGACAGCTAACATTTATTCTATTTTTTATTATATTCCAGAAAGTATGCTAAGCACTCTGCATGTATTAACTTATTTAATCCTTATAGCTGTGTAAGGTAAGCACTATTTTAAATTTGTAACTAATTTTTGAACTGGGAACATATTCATATGGATCAAAGTTCAAAAGATACAGAAGTGATTTACAGGGAAAAGACTTTCTCCCATACCTATCCCAAAGTTACCCTGTATCCCTTCCTTGAGGTAGCCAGTATTATCACTTTTTTGTTGAAATCAAATCTATCTATAGATATCCCCTTCTTTAAACAAATAGTAGCATTCTTTTTTTTTTTTTTTTTTTTAAGATTTTATTTATTTATTTTTTTCCCCCCAAAGCCTCAGTAGATAGTTGCATGTCACAGCTGCACATCCTTCTAGTTGCTGTATGTGGGACGCGGCCTCAGCATGGCCGGAGAAGAGGTGCGTCGGTGCGCGCCCGGGATCCGAACCCGGGCCGCCAGCAGCGGAACGCGAGCACTTAACCGCTAAGCCACGGGGCCGGCCCAAATAGTAGCATTCTATGTTTGAGTTCATCTATTGAAGTACTTCCCATTTAAAAAGGAGAAAAAAGATACACAGAAAGGTTAAGAAACTTGCCCAAGATGAAGAACTAAGAACTAGGATTTGAACAACAATCAATTTATAGAGCTCATGTCTGTCTACACTACCATTTCACCAGTAAAATAATTGAATGTAAAAAGTTAACCCATTTTCTCTTTTTTAATGTTTAGATGAAATACTACTAGAACACCCAATCCTTTAATTTTGGACCACTTCCAAGCAAAGGAAGCTTAACTCTAACAAATGCAAAGCAAACAAATACTTTAACATGAGACATAAAGTGAGATGTTTATTCTCAGTAACTTAAAAAATACAGTCTCGATAGCTTCTTACCTACATTCACTTAAACAAGATTTTTTGCCCAAGGTCATATATTAGTTAGTAGCAAAGCTGGTATGTCAAATCTTACTTCTAAAATATCCAATTCAATTCAAAGGAGGGCCATTCCTTAGTTTAGACCCTCCTCAATCCATCTGGACTACTGCAAGTCTCCTAACTGATCTGCCTGTCTTGGGTCTTGTCTCTCTTCTTCAATTCATCTTCTATAGGATACGCTATTTCCAAAGCAATCCCTCTAGTCCTTTGCCTCAACCTCGTCAAAGATATTGTCAACAAAATCAGGTTTAAATTCCAGGATCTATCCTTAACTTTCCAGCTTCCTGTACTAACACTATATGCTTCAAACTCTAGCTTAGCACCCTTCCTGATCTGGTCCCTGCTCACTCCTCTGGCCTAATCCTCAAAAAACATTATTGCAGCCACACTAAACCACTTGAAGAGCCTCAACTTATTAGTCTGTATTGAACAGCATTTGTCTTCAAAAATGCAGTTCTCTTGTCTAAAATGGCCTTTGCCTGCTTCTATGACTACCCAACTTCTCAAAAATCAGCTCAAACACTACTTAATCTAGGAAGCCTTCTCTTAAAACTCCCCACTCCTAATGCTTCTCATGCAAACTCCCCTCTTCAATGCTCCTGTGCTTAAATCTATTTTAACACCTACTACACTGCACATAACTACTAATTAGCTTGCCAGTCTACTATAAACTTGTGGAAGACAGGGATCATTTGTTATCTGACTTTATTTCTCCAGTGATTAGACTGGGATATATTTTGAAGATCAAAAGCCAACAAGTTATGGCCTCTGATTATACGCAGGGAGTAAAGAAAAAAGAGAAATTAAGAATGATTCCCAGGTTTTTGGCCTGAACAGAGAGATCAAATAGGCAGTCTTAAATTCAGGGGGAAAAGTAACAGGCTAGATATATAAATGAAGATGTCATAAGCACATAGATGGTATCTAAAGCCCTAGGACTGGATAGTACCTAGGGAGACTGTGTAGATAAAAGTCCAGGTACTATAATATTTTAGTGTCAGAAGGAAAAGCATAGGAGAAAGGAAGAAAACTAGAAGAATATGGTACTTAGGAAGTTAAAGAAACAAGTGTTTTAAGAAGGGGGAAGTGCTCAACTGTGTCAAATGCTGCTAAATGAGAGGAGGCCAAAAGGACAACCACTAGATTTGGCAACAATGAAGTCACTGGAGACAAGAACAGTTTTAGTAGAGTATAAAAGAAGCCAAAATGGGTGAAGGTGGTCAAAAGGTACAAACTTCCAGTTATAATATAAATAAGTTCTGGGGATGTAATGGACAGCATGGTGACTATAGTTAACAATTCTGTACTGTATATTTGAAAGTTGCTAAGAGTGTAGATCTTAAAAGTTCTTTTCACAAGAAAAAAAATCGTAACTATGTGAGGTGATGGATGATAACTAAACTTATTTTGGTAATCATTTTGCAATATATACATTATATCAAATCATTATGTTGTACACCTTAAACATATGCAATATGTCAATTATATCTCAATAAAACGGGGCGGGGGGGGGGGGGAGAAGACAGAAGCCAGACTAGAATATGCCAAGGAAAGAACAGGATGGAAGAAAGCACAGACATCAAAGAGAGACAACAATTTTGAGAAGTTTTGTTGTGAGGGGTTCAGAGAAAATGGCATAACAGCTGGAAGAGGCAAGGGATCAAGCGAGGGGGAAATAATTACAAAAGCAAATCCTTGTCTTACACTTTCACACTCTATTGAAATTAGGTTTTCAGTGCTTTTTCCAATTACATGAATTCCTTGAGAGCAGAATTTTCTATTTTTTAACTCCTCTCCATATCATAGGTTCTCAATACATGTTTGTGGAATGTCTAGAACCTAAACTCTTAAGTCCTGGTCCAAGAAATGCGATAGAGTGGAAAGAGCAGAATTTGAAATCAGATAGACTTAAGTTTAAATATCAGATTTTTCACTAACAAGCTAAGTAGCCTTAGACAAATTACTTTATCTTTCAGAACCTTAGGTTTCTTATGGGCACAAAATATTTATTTTGCCGGAATACTGTGACAATTAAATGAGAAACTGCATGTAAGTCACTCGGTACAGTGTCTGACCCAAAGATGGTGCTCAAAAAATGTTCAATATTGGGGTCAGCCCGGTGGTGCAGCGGTTAAGTCCACACAATCTGCTTCGGTGGCCCAGGGTTAGCGGGTTCGGATCCCGGGCGTGCACTGACGCACCGCTTGTCAAGCCATGCTGTGGCGGCGTCCCATATAAAGTAGAGGAAGATGGGCATGGATATTAGCCCAGGGCCAATCTTCCTCAGCAAAAAGAGGAAGACTGGCATCAGATGTTAGCTCAGGGCTGATCTTCCTCAAAAAAAAAAGTTCAATATTATTATTGTTGTTATTATTTCAATGGCAGGCAAATATAATCATGCGTAAACCATACATACATATATGTAAGCATATATACTGTAGAGAATTGAAATTATTTGAGTTTAAGAGTTTTGCAATTCCTCTAGTCAACTGGTATATCAAAACAAACACAGGGGCCGGTCCGGTGGCGCAAGTGGTTGGGTGCACGCGCTCCGCTGTGGCGGCCCAGGGTTCGCTGGTTCGGATCCCAGGCGCGCACCAACACACTGTTTGTCAGGCCATGCTGTGGCAGGCGTCCCATATAAAGTGGAGGAAGATGGGCATGGATGTTAGCCCAGGGCCAGTCTTCCTCAGCAAAAAGAGGAGGACTGGCAGATGTTAGCTCAGGGCCCATCTTCCTCAAAACAAAAACAAAAACAAAAACACAACGCAAAAAATATTCAGAGCTGGCAAGCAGTCTTGAAAGACTGTCTAGAAACATATACCATTGTTTTATATCTCATTAGAATATCACTTAACCGATGGGTTTAGAAATGTGATGAAAAATAAATACAATATAGGGGAGGAAAAACAAAGACCATTATAGGGAATTTCCTGGGGCCATAAAATGAGCCAGGAATACAATACAAGTCTTTTTAATTCAGGTATAGTCTACTGATAATTTAAATTGCCCCACAAGAAAATCAACTTTGGTCTAGTTTGCCTCTAACTGGGTTTTCTAACTCTACTTTCCCACATACAACTGATTTTCCACATAGCAGCGAGTAACCCATTAAAAAGGTAAGTCAGGGGGCCGGCCTGGTGGCAGAAGGGGTTAAGTGCGCACATTCCGCTGCAGCAGCCCAGGGTTCGCCGGTTCGGATCCCAGGCATGCACTGACGCACCGCTTGGCAAGCCATGCTGTGGCAGCGTCCCATATAAAGTAGAGGAAGATGGGCATGGATGTTAGCCCAGAGCCAGTCTTCCTCAGCAAAAAAAGAGGAGGATTGGCAGATGTTAGCTCAGGGCCGATCTTCCTCACCAAAAAAAAAAAAAATGTAAGTCAGATGCATAACCCCCTTCAATGACTTCCCACTATACTTGGAATGAATGCTAGCTTTATTTGTAATAGCTCAAAACTGGAAACAACCAAAATGTCCATCAACGTGGCTAGTAACTACTGTATTGGATCATCACGTGGCTGACACTGTCATCTAGGTCTCAGCTCTAATGTCATCTCCTCAGAGGTCTTCTAAAACCAGTCCAAGGTAGCTCTCCACCCTCATCACACTACTCAATTTTTTTGCAGCACATATCACATTATCTCAAATTATTTTGTTTTCTTATTATTTGTACTCCATTATTATGTAGATGCCATAAAAATTGGTATTTTTTGTTTAATAGTATCATCACCAGTGGCTAAAACTGTGACTTGCACAAAGTAGGCATTCCATAATTATATACAGAGTACATAAATGTGTAATTTTCAAAATGTTTAACTATATGTTGTATAGTAGTAAACTTTAAGTGGTCAAAGATACCATCTTCTCATATGACTCACCACTGGCACGCAGAAAGCTTGTATATTAGGCTACTTCCTCCAGGAAGCCTTCCCTGACACCCCAAAGTCTGGGCTAGGTGTCTCTCATATGATTGCTTAGCATTCAGTACTTCCTCCATCATAGCCTTTACTATATTGTAATTGAGTTACTTGTTTGTATCTCCTACTGAACTGTAAATCTCTTGATTCAAATAAACAAATGTGTCAATTGCTTGAGTACTTTTTTCACATAGTTCACAATTTTTCATTTTTCCAAACCAAAACATGGAAGAACTGAGAAGTAAGTTATTAAGGCTCAGTAACCTAGAGGTCATATTATGCAAGGGGCATGCTGTGGCCATCAACAACAGGTTCCACTGGTTTATGAGGCCTTGTCTGAGGCTTCCAGAGGGTTCAGGATGGTCTGGTATCACTCTGGCCTAGCTCCATTTGGAAGGTCTAGTCTCTACCCAAACCCCAGAATGACACCATAATGCAGCCCTCTCTGACATAAGCTTGTAACTCTGCTTGCCACATAATCAGTATCCTGATGTCTCCTAGCAGTGGCCCATGGAAATAACACTGTCTTCAATGTAAAAATATGCCTATTACAGTCACTGCCTCTACCACCACCACCAGCAGAGCCTGAGCTGAGGAAACCACGGTTCTCACTACCCAGAGCATCCCTTTCCAATAATCTGTGAAAACATGGTGGATTACTATGAAGTTCTAGGAGTGCAGAGATATGCTTCACCTGAGGACATTAAAAAGGCTTATCGTAAAGTGGCACTTAAATGGCACCCTGATAAAAATCCAGAAAATAAAGAAGAAGCTGAGAGAAAATTCAAAGAAGTAGCTGAGGCATATGAGGTATTATCAAATGATAAAAAACGGGACACTTACGATAAATATGGCAAAGAAGGATTAAACGGCGGAGTCGAAAGTCATTTTGATGCTTCTTTTGAGTATGGCTTCACATTCCGTAAGCCAGATGATGTCTTTAAAGAAATTTTTGGTGAAAGGGACCCATTTTCATTTCATTTCTTTGAAGACTCACTTGAGGACCTTTTAAACAGTCCCAGAAGCTCCTACGGAAGCAGAAACAGAGGTGCAAGATCCTTTTTCTCTACCTCCAGTGAATATCCAATTTTTGAGACATTTTCTTCATGTGATACAGGATATATACCATATGGTTTACTGGGTCATGAGGGCCTTAATTCATTCTCTTCCCTGGCATTTGATGATAGTGGGATGGGCAACTATGTATCTGTAACAACTTTAGGTAAAATTGTTAACGGCAGAAATACCAATACAAAAAGAATTATTGAGAACGATCAAGAAAGAGAAGTTGAAGACGATGGTGAGTTGAAGTCTTTCCTTATAAATGGTGTGGCAGATGAAGAGGGCTTTGCAGAAGAATGCAGCTGGAGAAGACAGTCATTCAACAATTATTCACCAAAGTCCTACAGCCCCAAACATGTATGTCAATATACTTTTGTGGACAATGATGAGCAAGGAATACCTTGGGTCACAAGCAACTGGGATCCCTCTATGTTCTCAGCAGGATTCAAAGAAGGTAGTAAAAGGAAAAAAAAGAAGCATAAAGAGGTGCAGAAGAAGAAGTCAACCAAAAGGAATCATTAAATTGACTCTTCAGACACATTATGTTAATATAACATTTGAACATGACACTTGGCGTGTTTTGGTTAATCAGAGTTTTGTAGATAACATTTGTTTAATATTATACTAAGATTATGTTTTTAACATGTTTATAAGGATTGTGGATATTTGGTCAGTGGTTTTCAGATTAGGTATGTCAGAAAAAGATGAGTTTGTGGTGACAGTGATGTTAAGAATTTGGAAAACAGAAAAGATTATTTTACTTTTTGTTTTTGAGCTAAATGTTTACATATCAGTTTTTCTTTAGTAGAGTTTACAATCTATTTCATCCCTTTTATCAAGTTAAAACTGCTATACAAACTTCTGAAATATGTATAGCATTAGGAGTTAAAAATGTATTAAGATCCACAGGTTCAGACTATATAATTATTCATGAAATGACTTTTTTCCAAGAGGCAGAGCATTTGACACATAACTTAAAGACACTATACATTAAAAATTAAAGTATAAAGTATTTTCTTTTAAGTTAAAAACAGTCAGACTTATATTTGCACACCCATGTTCATAGCAGCACTTATTCACAATAGCCAAGAGGTGGAACCAACCCAAATACCAATTGATGGATGAATGGATAAATAAAATATTTATATACAAACAGTGGAATATCATTCAGACTTAAAAAGGAAGGAAATCTTGCTACATGCTATAACATGGATGAACTTTAAGACATTATGCTAAGTAAAATGAGGCAGACATACACAAATACTTTATGATTCTACTTATATGAGGTATCTAAAGTCAAATTCATAGAAACAAGAAGTAGAATCGTGGTTACCAGGGTCTGGGGTGAGGGGGGAAGGGAGAGTTGTTGTTAATGGGTATAGTTTCAGATTTGCAGGATGACAAAGTTCTGGAGCTCTGTTTCACAACTGTATATTTAAAAATGATTAACATGGTATATTTTATGTTATATGTATTTAACCACAATTGAAGAAAAAAAGCCAGACTTACTCTGAATTCCTCAGAGCAATCTGGCTATATCACATGTGGTAGGCCATCAGTGAATCACTCCAGATAGGAAACTTTCTATTTTCTTTTTCAGTATGCACACAGGATCACAAATATATTACTCTAAAATACTATCTTTAGCCATTATATGGGGGCCAGCCCCGTGGCATAGCAGTTAAGTGCGCTCGCGCTCCACTGCTGGCAGCCTGGGTTCAGATCCCGGGTGTGCATCGATGCACCGCTTGTCAGGCCATGCTGTGGCAGCGTCCCATATAAAGTGGAGGAAGATAGGCACGGATGTTAGCCCAGGGCCAGTCTTCCTCAGCAAAAAAACAGGATGACTGGCATGGATGTTAGCTAAGGGCTGATCTTCCTCACAAAAAAGAAAAGAAAAGAAAAGAATAAAAGACTATCTTTGGCCATTATAATTTAGGGTTATGATGGAAGAAAAATAGATGGGTTACAGATACATCAGATATTGAGCAAGTAGTTTGAGCTAAATGTTTGCTTCTTTTAATTAACTTAGTTTAATTTCAACACAATTACTTCTTAGCTTCTTGTAATTATTTCATTTTCAAAATATCCTGCTTTTGAGTCTATTATTTTTATTCATTCAACAGTATTTTTGAGTACCTACTGTTTCTCAGGTAGTGTTCTGGGTACCTGGGATACAGTAATGAACAAACAGCAAATATCTTAGCTGTCACAGAGCTTACAAACTGGAGAGAGACAATAAACAAATATTAAGTAAAATGTAATGTTAGTCACAGGTGCTAAGGAAAAAAAATAAAGTAGGGGAAGAGGATAGAAGTTCTGGAGTATGAGGGTTGAAATTTTAGGTAAGGGAGCTGGGGAAAAGGGATGGTTACATCTGAGTAAAGATCTAAAGAGAAGGAGTTAGCCACGTGGATACTTGGTGAAAGAGAATTCCAGGAAGAAGGAATAGCAAGTGAAATGTCCCTAAGGCAGACAGTGTTTGAGCAACATGGAGGAGATTGGTGTGGCCGATTAAGAGAGCAAGTAGGGGCCAGCCCCGTGACTTAGCTGTTAAGTGCGTGCGCTCTGATGTTGGCGGCCCAGGTTCGGATCCCAGGCGTGCACCAACGCACCTCTTGTCCAGCCACGCTGAGGCGGCGTCCCACATACAGCAACTAGAAGGATGTGCAACTATGACATACAACTATCTACCGGGGCTTTGGGGAGAAAAAGGGGAAAAAAAGGAGGAGGATTGGCAATAGATGTTAGCTCAGAGCTGGTCTTCCTCAGCTAAAAGAGGAAGATTGGCATGGATGTTAGCTCAGGGCTGATCTTCCTCACAAAAAAAAAAAAAAAAAAAAAAAAACAAAGAGAGCAAGTAGATGAAGTAAGAAAGGAGATCAGATTACGCAGGGACTGCTAGAGAACAGTATGGACTTTGTTATTATATGTGGGACAGGAAGCCACTGGAGGCTTTGAGCAGAAAAGTGACATAATCCAACATATTTAAAAGGGCCCACTATGGCTGCTGTCATTGAAAACAGACTCAGAGCAGACAGGGGTAGAAGCAGGGAAATCAGGCTATCACCATAATCCAACATATTTAAAAGGGCCCACTATGGCTGCTGTCATTGAAAACAGACTCAAAGCAAACAGGGGTAGAAGCAAGGAAATCAGGCTATGACCATAATCCAGGCAAAAGATTGTAGCAGCTTGGTCCAGGGTGGTGGAGGTGGGGGTGGTAAAGAGTGATCAAATTCTAGATATATTCTAAAGGGAGGGCCAAACAGAATTTGCTGACAGACTGGATACTGGGTATGATGGAAGTCAAGATTTTTGGCCTCAGCAACTAGAAGAAGGGAGTTACCATTAATCTGAGATAGGACTGCAGGTGTTAAGTTTTGGACGTGCTACATTTGAGATGCCTTGCATCCTGCATGTTCTCTTGTCATTGAATTCTTCCCTTTTTTTAAGCAAAAAGATGTACTGATCATATTATTTTAATTTTTTATCTCTTAGAAATGTAATTACTGTAAATTTTAATGTGACTAAAAGATGAGAGCAAATAATCTAGCAGCACTTAAACCCAATCTACCTTTGGCAAAATACAGTTCAGGGGTATTTAGCAATGCAACAAATTTGGAAACCAGAAAAAATTATAAGATTTACTATTTTAAAATGACTGCTGTAGTAAAGCGTGAGCTTTTGTTTTGTTTTGTTTGATTTTTAGTGGGTAGGTGGGTAGGGAGGAATGGTCATTCATTCTATAGGAGGGACGGGGACAATTAGCATTTAAAGCTTATTTTCAGAAAATAAAATCATAAAAGCTTAGGGTATTTTAAATGCTACTTATATAAAATGTGGTATTTAGTAGAGTTTATCTGTCCTCATGTAGGTGGGACTAATCAAGAGTTGAAAAAAATGCAATTTTCCAACAAAAGCAAAAACCAGTATCTCTGAAAATTTAAGAATGCCATCACTTGCCTTTAAGTCCATTTTTCCACCCTTAAAAGATAACTAAAAATTCAGACTTAATCTTACCCAATAGCTTAAAATTATTCAATAGTTTCCCATTGCCTAAGGAAAAAGCTCACTGTTTCTTTCTTTTTTTTTTGGTGAGGAAGATTAGCCCTGAGCTAACATCTGTTGCCAATCCTCTTCTTTTTGCTGAGGAAGATCGGCCCTCGGCTAACATCCGTGCCCATTTCCTCTACTTTATATATAGGACGCCTGCCACAGCATGGCTTGATAAGTGGTGCGTAGGTCTGCACCCACGATCCGAACCTGCAACCCCGGGCCACCCAAGTGGAGCGTGCAAACTTAACCACTACACTACTGGGCCAGCCCTCATTGTTTCTTAACATAATATACAAGGCCCTCCATAAGCCAGCCACCAGCTTTCTTCCCAACTTGATTTTCTACCACCGCTTCCTACACATCTTATGCTGGAGACCAGCTTTTTCCAAAAGTTGTTCCACGGAATACCAGTTCAAGACTCACCACAGAAAAAGGGCTCCATAGTCAAACACATTTTGCAAATTACTACCAAATACATTTGCTTCTCAGAGACTTAGAGTTAGTCTATTATGGGCACTATGAAATGCAGCATTCCCCATACTTATTTGACCACAGAATCATTCTGGTGCTAACACCTACTAATATGCCCAGGAACATGTTTCAAAAAAGCTCCTCCAGGCTTACTACTGATTGCATATCTTTGTACCAGTCATTCTGTTTCTGAGTTCTGGGCCTTTACATGTTCCCTTTGCCAGGATATCTCCATTACTCTAGTCTGCTTAGTCAAAGCCTTCTTTCAGGTCTCAAATCTTACCTCCTAATCTTTAAAGGCATGCCCACATTTCCTCTTTGCTCCTCCCTGCTCCTGGAAAATATCTATCACTTTTTCTTTCTCCCCACCACTGGACCTCTATTACTAAATTTAGTATGTTATATTACAACTACTTGCTTTTTTGTCTGTTTCCTGTGATGGTAGAAATTTTTTCTGCTCAGTGCTCATATGTGGTGCTCAACTAACGTTTGTTGAATGAATTAACTGCAAACAGGCTTTTAAAACATTATTCTTGAGCCAGCCCAGATGGCCCAGCAGTTAAAAGTGTGGTATGCTCCACTTTGGCGGCACAGGTTCGGTTCCCGAGCGAGAATCCTGTCTGTCAGTAGCCATGCTGTGGCAGCAGCTCACAGAGAAAAACTAAGACTTACAACTAGAATATACAACTATGTAGTGGGGCTTTGGGAAGGGGAAAAAAAAGAGAGAAAGAGGAAGATAGGCAACAGATGTTAGCTCAGGGCAAATCTTTCCCAGGAAAAAAAAAATCATTCTCTACTTATTCTTTAATATTTTCAATATTTCCCTTCCCCATCTCAGACTTATATTTATCTTAAATGATTTAGATTTTTTAAATACAACATACTTATGCATCATTAGTGCTTCATTTTGCTTTTTGTCAGATGACTAGATGGTGTTAATTACTGCACATTCCAACAAATGAAATCACACTCCTAATTAGGTTAACCTTTAGCTAGTCAAAACATTTTCACTTTAGGATCATGTAACTCACAGA